CCCCCCCCCCCCCCAGCAGTTGGCAACTTGGGGCTTTGACCTCAGCTGGTCCTGCCTTGGGCCCTGGAACCTCTTCCATTCATTCATTCACTCATTCATAAGACACCAAGTGAAAATTAAGCTGGGGCCCGCCACTTCTTGGGCTTCCTGTCTCATCTGCAACTTGAGACCAAGAGGTCCTTGCCTCTCTTGTGGACGGCACCCCCGACAGGGCTCCCCGAGCCAGGCGGGCTCTGCGGTCTTTCCGTGTCTGTTCCACTGCAGACCTGTGCTCCCCCTGGAGCATCTGGGAGGGCTCTGATGAGGGAGAGAAGGGAGGAGAGGATTGCCACAAGGATTCCATGGTGCAGATGCGCGTGGTTCACTCTGTACCGGGGGGTACAACGTCTGTGTGCCGTGGGGCCCTGTGTTGGACCCTGGAGCAGAGGGTTTGGGGGGACGTGGACGCGAAGCAGTTGAGGTGGAGACGCACACGGGCTTCTGCCTGCCGTGGGACAGGTGACAGCTGCAGTAACACAGACACAGGGTGGGTGAGCTCAGGAGTGGGGCTTGGAAGGAGGGAGGAGAGGGCACCCACATTGGACCCGTGTGTTGGAAAAGAGGGCTCACGGGATCTTCTGTTTGGGCTGGGGGCGGGCCGCGAGGCGGGAGGCAGGGGACAGGGCCAGTGTGTGAAGGGACCTGAGAGTCAAGCTAAGCTTGTTGGGCCTGAGCTTACCAGTATCAAAGTGCAGGCTGTTGGGTTTTGTTCAGCTCCCACGTGTTCTAAGTGTGTGACCTTGGGTAAATCACTAGACCCCCCTCCGGGCATCAGTTCCCTCGTCTGTAAAGTGGGGTTGATAATAGGACCGACGTCACAGGATTGGTGTGAGGCAACGAGCGTGCAATTAACAGTAGTTATTGTAAGTTGTGTGATTAGAGAGTCGAGATGATGAGTGTGTGTTGTTCCTTCCTTTACTCAGCAGTGTTACAGAGTCACCACTCTGTGCTGGGCCCTGCCTGGTGGCGGAGACGGCAGGAGCCAGGTGATGGCAGGTGCCAGCCAGAGGGGGCCACCTGAGCAGAGACCGGGGGGAGGGAGCACTGCTGGGGCCTGTAACGCGTGGGCAGGGGGGACCCGGAGATACAGCTGGCCCGGAGCGCCAGGCTTGCTGGCTCAGGAGGGTGGATGGAGCCACGGGGAGCTTTGTGGGTTTTATTTATTTATTTTTTTTAACGTTTATTTATTTTTGAGACAGAGAGACAGAGCATGAACGGGGGAGGGGCAGAGAGAGAGGAAGACACAGAATCAGAAGCAGGCTCCAGGCTTTGAGCCATCAGCCCAGAGCCTGACGCGGGGCTCGAACTCACGGACCGCGAGATCGTGACCTGAGCTGAAGTCGGATGCTTAACCGACTGAGCCACCCAGGCGCCCCAGCTTTGTGGGTTTTAAGCAGGGGAGGGCAGCTCCCCTTCTGAAAAGAGATCCGGAATCCTGTCTAAACATTCATTTGTAGAGCAGGCCAGTGCCCGGGCCACCAGCCCATTGCACAGCAGACAAACTGAGGCCCAGCTGCCACATGAGGCGTAAGGAGGATCTCCATGAGAGTAGGGGCAGGGTAAGGGCCGAGGGCAAGAATCATCTGAAAGGTTCAAGCTCTTGGAGCTGTGGGCCCTGCCTCCGCTAGGGGGTGGGGTTTGCCCTCCTGAAGGGGCTGGTTCATTGTTCCCCACCCCTGCCCCCCTCCCTTGAGGACAGAGACCATGTGGGTTTCATTTTTCGGTCCTTCGTCTCCCCCAGAGCCAAATAGAACTTCCCAGGGTTTTTGAAAACTCTTAGAGAATATCTGTGTTACTAAAGTCCAGATGTTGATGAGGGACAGAGATGGGGGTGGGGGAAGAAGCTGGAGGAAAAACTAGTATCTCAGGGGCCCTTATAGTTTTCACACTGTTTCCGGAATTTATTCATTCAGTGAACATTTATCGAGCACTTATGAAGTACCGGGAATGACACAGGGCATTGAGGGCACAGGGTGAACAAAATGTGACCCCAGCCTTCTAGGAACCCTGCCAGGGAGGCTGAAATAAACTGCCAAGACTAGTTGCCTTTGTCTCATTGGGTCTCTGAACAAGCCTTTGCTGGGGCTGGGCTGGCGACTGCTCACCTATTCACAGAGCAGGAGGCTGAGGTTTAGGGATGTGAAATAGCTTGCTTATGGCCAGACTCTTAGGCAGTGGCAAAGCAAGGGGACTTAGGGACCCGGCTTTGGGGTCGGGGGAGAGGGAAGCGACCCGGCCAGATGTGGCAAAAGGGCTGAGGCTCATACGTAGTCAGCTCCCCTGTCCTAGTCCACCCAGCCTTGGGGCACCTCCCTCTGGGGTTCTCAGGTTCCCCTTTCCTGCCTCTGCCCACGGTTCATTGTCTGGGGCAGGAGGAGAAAGGCATGCTTGCCCGCTCCCTTGTATCACCGAGGCCCGCCCTTCACCCCGCCCAGACTCAACCCTAACCCTCCCCACCAACCTGGTAGGTGGTCTTAGAGCTCCCCCAACATACAGATGGGAAAAGGGAGGCCGAGACGACTGGTGACCTGCCCAAGGCCACACAGCCAGGCCCGGAAGAGCAGAGCCTGGGACTCTGACCTTGGAGGTGGTGCTGCCTGCTCTGGCCTCTGGGCCCACCGTCTGGGAGAGTCAAGGCGGCACTTTTCATCCATAGAAGGGCAAGGGTTTTGGCGGGGGCACCCGGGAGGCTGACGCGCAGGAAGGCTGTGCGAGTTGGTATGACCTCTCTGGGTTTGTGATATGCAGAGGAAAAGTCCAGAAATGTGGCTTCTCGAGGCCGAGTGGCTTCCCCTCTCTGGGTCTCAGGGTCCTCATCCGTAAAATGGGATAAATACCTGCCAAATAGAGTTGCTACAAAAATAAATTCCAGACAGGAACTCGGCACAGGTCAGCCATCTGTGGCTGTTCCTGTCGTTACAAACATTAGTCCTGGTCTTAGTGTTGTCTTTTTTTTTTTTTTTTTT